GTGAGTAATTGGTAGCTGAGATTCCGTCAGTTGTTGTTGACTCATGACTTGGTTTTACTCAAAGGGGGGGGGGGGCAAAAAAGCCTACACCCGGAGATATACTTGAAAAAAAATTAGATTTTTCTCTTTCAAAATGTAGAAATCAGAAGGCAAAAACATCAACTATATTGCACGTGCGGTTTTTTTTTTTTTTTGTTTTTCGATTCGTTTTCTTGACGTTCAAATTGACAAGAATTCGAATCTGAAAATTGTTCAAAAAACACTCAAGACTGTTTTACTAAATAGAATTTTTAAAATTCTCGGCAAAAAATCATAGAAAGTAATAATGATAACGCTCATACAGATTTGTACTCATTCAGATTTGTACTTACTTATGTATTTATCCATTTAGTTTTAATATTTGTACGTTCACTGAAATCTGCCCTGGTATTTAGTCCTGTCAGAAAGATAAAAAATCTTTTCTTTTTCTTTTCATAAATTTATAAAACACGGCAATACCAAGAAAGTCACCCGGACATGGTTTTTAAACTCAAATTACTTGGGAAATATTGACGCAAAAATTGGTTCAATTGAGTGGTGATATTTTTCTTGTCTGCTATTCTTAATTGGCCTCACTTGATAATGCTGAACTGGAATGCATTTCACCGTTTTTTTTTTACATTTTTGTAATTTTCTTAAAATATGCGAAAAAAGCTTTTCACATTACAATTTTAGCATACTCGATCCATATAGTTTTCGGTCAAACATTGACGGTTCTGTGACTCGATATTTATTTGTTTTGCGTAGTTTGCTAATAATGATTTATGCTCACAAATGCAGTACTTAGTTTCCATTCTTTGTTTTGAACGCATGATGACTGTTCATGTACAAAAGTCATGGAAATAACAAACAAACACATCAATTGCCGAATGAGATTAGAAATCATGTTGCTTCTGTGCGTCAGGTTGATAGGCTACTTCTCTGACACAAAAATAGAAAAAAAAGGTCACCCGAACAAATTGAACAAAACAAAAAATTGAACAGCACAAGGTTACTTAAAAAAAATCTTGGCTACTACTCACATTTCTTCAGTTTTAGAGCCACCACACTAATATGGCAGATCAGAAGCAACAAGACTACTTAACGCAGCTGTTGCTAGGTAGCTTTTGTGGGATGTAGCGGTAGTAGACTTCCGAGCGCCTAAGTATAGTTAGTGCATGCTCGGTCTGTAACCCTCGAACTGCTGCTTCTGAAGTGGCAGACAGAAATTTCTTCATATAGAGATTGAGCTGATGATGGCCATAGCAACGAGAGTTTTTGGGCAAATTTTGTAGGATTTTAAGTACATGTACCGAGCAACCCAGGACAGATTCTTTTATATATAAGAGAATATCCCTTGCAACACAGATTGCAGATTCCGCATGTATACTCGACAAAATAAAAGATGAAACGTCTTGGGACGTTTTTTTTTGGACCCGTAATTGAAAAGATTCGAACTAAATTGTGTATCTCTTGTTTAAATCATCATCACAGCGTTTTTCGTTTATGTTATTTTTGTTCCGACTATTGAAGGCACTTTATATTTGGGTGAGTTTTAGTTTTTTCTTCTTTTCTTTTGCTTTCCACTCAAAACTTGGTACCACAAGTAATCATCAGATTGGGTCGAATGTTATATCAAATTAAAACACTTTTGGTCGTGATTCAAACAAAATTAAAGTTTTCAAAATTTTGTTTCAACTTCATTTAAAACACTTTAGCGCTTCGTTGGCCATTAAAGTTTTCTCCAAAATTCAAAAAACTATTGTGCAAAAAAGCTTTAAAAAATGTGTGATAATTTTCGAAATTTTTTCGAAATAATTTTTTGTCTGTTAATCGTTTTTTGAAGCCAACTGCTCACAATTATGCCTAATTGGTCTAATTTTTACACGTTTGTTTAATTTTCTCATCACACCATGACAAAAAACGAGTTTAAAATGAAGAAAAATAAAGAAACATTTATGTAAACATTTTTGTAATTTTTTATGAAGATTGCCGAAATAAACTGTGCTACTTACACAGCAACTGGCTATCCTTGTTATATATTCCTTTTTCATATAATTTCTAAAGGTTTTAATTGATTGTACCACAAACTACGCGTGATGTAAATTAGATCCAGAAGTTCAATAGTTGATATGCTATTTTCGGAGCGGAATGAAAAAAAAAATTAAAAAAAGTCGAAATTGTGCATAAAAAAATTGAGGTAACGTTGATTTTACGCTGTTTTTAGTGATGCCCATGGAGAATTGTTTTCAGCGTTTTCGATTTGCCAGAAAAGTATTGAACTGTCGTCTTGAAGTCCCATCAAAAATAGTTGTCATGTTCAAAATTGTCGTTTTATTCGGCGGACACTTGGTATTTTTGTCACGCCTTATTCGGAGATGTACTGGATGAAGTTTCAAGAGAACTGAGGAGTGTTGGGACTTTTAAAAATGGGGTCTATAAAAGGTTTTTCTCTTAAATGGGTCCAGGCATTAAACCGAAAGGAGTCACCTATGATAGATTAATATATCAATGATAATTAATTTCAAAAACGTTTTGATATATAGAAAATAGTCTATTGAGTTTTTCCCATGTTTCATCTTTTCTGCAAACTGGTTTCTAGTATTGATACTAGTAACGATTATACTAGTAGCTACCAGCTACTATTTTATTAGTACTTCTGTACTTCTTGCATGTCAACTGTGATATTTAACAATTGGTTGTAGCTCAATGAACTTTAATCTTGAACATATACTTTATAAATACTTGGTTAATAGGCTGGACCTTAAGTCTGTTGTAGAACTCCAACTCTAGATAGTCATAAATTAACTGTATTTAGCTATTTTTTCGTGAATGATTCTTAAAATTTGATATATTCAATCAATTTTAAGCCTTTTCTGTCCCAATTTTTAAAGCTTTATATAATATTAGTGGTGTGTTTATTTAGACCACTAATTTTTCTGAAATTGTTTGAAGGGTTAGTTTTATGACCCATCAGCTTTTTGGCCAGGATTAGAATTGTTAAATACATGTACCATAGTTTTACGAAATTGACATTTTTTTCTTAGTGTATTGTTCCGACTATTAAAAATGGGGAGGAACTTCGCATTCAGGTGTATTTTAGTTTTTTTTGCTTCTCGCAAAATTTGGTACCACCAAGAATTATAGGAATGGGCTGAGTGATATATCATTGACAATTCCTCTCAGTCGAGATTGGAACGACATTCAAAAATTTCAAAACGTGTCAAACAAAATCGGTCTTGGGATAAAAAATTTCGAAAATTAAAAAAGTTGTCTAATTTTTTTTTTTCGTTTTTCGTGTCATTTTTTGACAGAAACTGTTGCCCATTTTGCCTGTGCTAATGTGGCTGACAGATTTGTCTAAGTTTTAGGCTTTCGTCTTATCCTTTTTTCATACCACACACAAAAAACGACACTAATTTGAAAAAAAAAGATTGAATGTAATTTTTATAATATGGTTGGAACATTCTGTGCTACTTGCACTGCAAACGGTCATCCTTGTTGTTCCGACTTTCGGTACGAAAGTAACGGAATATTTGTGCTCGGGGTGGGTTTTTTTTTTTCTTCAGACAAATTTCGACTTTTTAACTAGCCATTTTTGACGGAATTTTTTTATATCATTCGAAAGCCATTGTTGTCCTGAGCTTAAATTTGAAAATATATTTCACCTGTGATCATTTTTCGTAGAGTTATGAGGGTTTAAAGATTGCCATTTTGGTCATTTTGAGCAATTTGGGACAATTAACGCGCGATATAATTCGCGCTATTAACGTGTAAGCGGAGATTTAATCCGTCTTATAAATCGATCCAAATTGGTTGAACGAAGCTTATTTGCCCTAATTGATTTGTTACAAGGAACGAAATCTCTCTTTTTGTACTTTTTATGGCGTGTGGGGAGATGATTTTCATAAAAAATTCAAATTTTAGAAGAAAAAAAATTTCATTTTATTTTATTTCATTTAATTTTTTTATGCTATTACTGCTGCTCCATAAACCTTAAAAGGCAGTCGGAACATTCAGGGCTTCGCCCTGATACGAGCAGTCTTGTTTTATTTGCAATGAACATGTTTGTATAATTCTACAGAAGTTTTCCTTAGATCACTATCTTTTGCCGGGAATTATCTGTGATTTCATACTAAATCGAAGTTTTTCTTCCGCGCAAAGTTAATTGCTACCCTATAAATATCCCCTGAAACCGCAATGAAAAAAAGGTCTAAAATAGAACAAGACTGCTCGTATCAGGGCCAAGCCTTGAATGTTCCGACTGCCTTTTAAGGTTTATGGAGCAGTAATAACATAAACAAATTAAATGGAACAAAATAAAATGAAATTTTTTTTTCTAAAATTTGATTTTTTTTTTAAAAAAGAAAATATCATTCCCCCACACGCCATATAAAGTCAAAATGACAAATTTTGTTCCTTGTAACAAATCAATTATGGCAAATAAGCTTCGTTCAACCAATTTGGAACAATTTCTAAGACGGATTAAATCTCCGCTTACGCGTTAATAGCTCGAATTTTTTGTCGCGCTTAATTGTCCCAAATTGGTCAAAATGGCAACCTTTAAACCCTCATAACTTTACGAAAAATGATCACAGGTGAAATATCTTTTCAAATTTAGGCTCAAGACAACAATTCCTTTCGAATGATATAGAAAAAATTTCGTTAAAAAGTCGAAATCTGTCTGAAGAAAAAAAACCCACCCGAGCACAAATATTCCGTTACTTTCGTATCGAAAGTCGGAACAATAAAAATGATAAAGACATATCTGGCATGAAATATGATTTTTAAACCGTCTCTTTCTTTGTAAATAAGAGTTCATTAATTTTTATTGATTTCGAGAGATTAGGTTTTTAGACTAGTTGGCTTTAAATAGCATTCTAATCATTAGAGATAATCTGAATTAAAAGCCTTTCAAGTGGAAATGTAGGATAGCTTTAGACTATTGTTTCTGAAAGTTACCTGCTTAATTTATTCTTTTCAGACAGCTATGGCTATGATAGATCAGAAAAAAGACAGATATGTGCGTGGAAATTTGCCAAGTCTGGTTGGAGTTGTAAGTTTTTATTTCTGGCTAACGCTAGTGACAAACTTAATGGGCAATTTTTTTCTATACTTTTGATTTGAATTGAAAATATAATTAAGTCAAAGTGGCATTGCAATTGAATTTTCGAATTTTTAAATAAGAAAACGACGACAAGTCCAACAAACGCGAAACGTCGAAGAAATAAGTCTAAGCTTTCTATAACCGAAAATGATAGCAAATTTTAACATTTTCTAAACATGTCATTACAAGGTAAAAATGTGGTGAAATCGAATGGAGTCATAGAAGCGGAAAAATCCATAAGGCTGAAGTTGCGAATATAGGACTGTTTATTTTTATTTAATAAAAAACATTGAAAATTTAACTTTTCTAAGTTTCAACCACGCAGTTTAAATATAGATCCAATATAACGGGCTGGATTCTTATATGGAATGTTATGTAAGGTTGTGCATTCCAATGCAGAGTGAAATATTTGGTAAGGAGTTCGACATCCAGGGATTCGAATGACATCAATGTCAGTGAATTCTACCGCTGAGAGGTTTGCATACTCCGCAAAAGTCTCACAAAGTTAAACTAATAATCCTACACTGTTGCATAGTTATGATGTTAAACCAATTGGTTAACTATAAAATCAAATTCAAAAAGACCTTTAATTAAAGCAGAATGCTGCTTTATACCGAGACAATAGTTTCGAAGTATCAAGAAATTTTTTGTTCTAGGCTCGCCGTGCGTTTTGTAAAAGAAAATGTTTGGTTTGTAAATCTTTCCTGTCAATCTGTCATTATACACGCCTATCTTTAGAAATTAATCGATAATTCTTAACGAATAAAAACATTGGATATTCTTATTTCTGAAAAGTTGGATTAAAAGCTCAGCAAAAATAATTAAATTAATCGCAACAGTTCAAGAGTTTGATTTTCAGATACCATATTGAGTCCATGACATGAAAATGACAATAAATAGCCAAAAAAGCTTCACTCAATAAAACCTAAGCTTGTTCCACTCTTCGTCTGCGACTTGAGGAAACTAATTTCTAACATCCAAGTTGTGATTATAGATAGCAAAGAATCCGAGCGCGAAGCCTTTGGACAACCTGATTCTAGAGAACAGAGCCAAGGCAGATGCACTGGCAGAGACACAGGCGAGGGTCGCGGAGGCGAAGAAGAAGGACTTGAGGAGCGACTGGGAGAACAAGACGAATAAGACGATAGAAAGGAATGCGATCAGAAGGAGGGTGAATGACATCCTCATGCAGAACCAGTTCTCACTCGAGGACCGCAGAGAAAAGTAAGATGCCCTCTTGTATATTTTTAATGTAGTTAATGCCAAATTGTTGGCGATATCGGCGGTGGGTCCGCCATGCTCAAACCGAGTTTCAGAAATTTTACAATTTCGGTCGTTTGAAGCCACAAGTCTTTGAGAGTTACGTTAGTGGTGTTCTATCGGTTTTATTGGTCAAAAACTACTAACGCAATTTGGGTTAATTAGATTTTTTGGAGTCGGTTTTATGTTAAATTGGCGATAAACTGAAAACCACGTGGAAATGGGCCATTTTAGGTTAATTAACCTCGGTCAGATTCGCTGACCGACAAGAGTATTGCCAACAATTTGGCTTTGACTAGAAATTTTTTTCATTAAACACTTTCAGTCGTGGTTCAGATTTAGTCAGAGACATTTCAACTCTTAGTTTCGGGAAATATTTGCTTGAATTTTTCCGGTTTCTTCTCGGCAGTTAGAAAGTGGCTAAGTTCTTCTGTTAAATGCTTGCATTTGTGAGAGCAAGTGTCTTGCAATCAGGAACGATACTTTTTACCGATTATTTGCGCAAATGGAGAGTATTGTCATATAAGGAAGTCCATTTTTTTCTAACCCAAGTCGCTAAAAAAAAGTGCTCATTTGGTGGCAATTTTGCACCAAGGCATTATATCTGGTTTTAATTTTGCTGCGCTTGTATTATATCTGGTTTGTTTTTGCTGCATTAGCATTATATCGTTTTATCTGGTTTATTGGTGGCTAGTGTTTTAAGTTTGTCAAGCGGACATAGCGCAGGGCGGAGATTTGATTCCGGTACATAGAAAAATTTAAAATAAGTTTACTTTTTTTTCCTTTTTTCTCGAAGGTGGAGGTTCGATTTTGGCACATAAAAAATTCAAATTAGTCCTAATTTTTCTTTCATTTTTTAAAAAGTTTTTTTTTACTTCATTAGAGCTATTTTTCTCGCTTCTGGTTGCGATTGCAGTTCGCCTCCGTGTTAACTCTTTGTACGAAATGTGTACAAAATAAAGCCTGGTTCCCAGGGGCGGATCTAAAATTTTCTCGAGGGGGGGGCGGATTTTCAAAAAATTTTCGAAAATTTTGTCGACCTTTATTTTTTAGGTCGACCAAATTGATTTTTTTTAGCTCTCCCAAAGTAGTTTTGTCCCTATTTATTTTGGCCAAATTTTCTGCGCCGCAACCAAAATTTTGAAAAAAAGGCCAGAAAAGGCATTTTTAGGCACTTTTTGAAAAATGTTGACCAAAAAGTTGCGTTTTTTCAGCGCGCGCTCCCCCATCAAAACTAGTATATATTGGCGCCTGAGGCGCCTTTAGAAAAATTTTAGGGTCCGTCGCCAAAAATGGATATCTCAAAATAGTACAAAGGGGGATCCTTTGGGTCGGCAGGGGGTCGAATCCCTGAGAAGGGGCGTCCGCCCTCCCCCCCCCCCCCCCTAAATCCGCTACTGTGTGAAGCGTTGATCTCTGTTTTTCAAGAGTAATTGCGTGCTATAAGTTTCCACTTGATTTTTGTTACCACTGTTTGATCGCCTAAACTAGTTCAGATCCCCTAATTCCGCCGCTGCTGGTTCCTAATTCATAATTTTCTCGTCTACCAAAAATCTAATTTTTGTTAAAATTTTTCAGGATATGCTTCCGTTTTAATCATATTCATTTTTGCACCAAGTTTTGGAACTTTTTTTGAGTTGAAGATTTTTGAAAATGAAAGATTTTGATTTGGTTCTTATAATAAATTTTCTTCACATTTTTTTTAAGTTGCGTTTATATTCTGCAATAAATTCAACTTTGTGGTAGCTTGTTTCAAATGTAGCATTCTATCAACGCTCTTGGCTGCTTTAATCTAATTATAAGTCCAACAAGAAAAGACAATTTTCGAGTTTTTGAAATTCGGTTCACTTTTTTCTCTTGTTGCTAGGTTTCAATTATTGGAGCACAACCAAATGAGTAGGAATTGGTTAAAATTTTAATAAAGTTTCCCGAAATCAGATGCATTCAATTGAATGACGTGTTTTTTTCACTTTTTATAGTTTTATTTATCTGGTTCTCACTGTTGATGTATTTGCCATGTTTTTCTGGAATGATTGCTCTACATTGGTTGCTTTACAAGTCAGAACAATAAGGGCGACTATCAAATCAACCATCTAATCCTGTTGTTATTGAATGTTTTATTCATGTTCTTTAGTTTTGTTCCGATTACCGAAGGTGAAGAGGAGCTTTGAATTTGTGTATTTAACGAAATTTTAGGTGCCACAAAGAAACTACAGACCGGGATGCGCGATGTATCATACTAAAGCTGTTTCAGTCGTGAATGAAAAATTGAATTTCAAGTATCTGAGAAAAGATCACTGCATGCATACTCAGGGCTTTTCAAAAATTAATTGAATTTTAAATTAATTGCAATTAATTGAATTTTTAACTAATTGTTGGGCATGCAATTATTTCAATTAAAATTTTCTCATGCCCAGTTAACTGCAATTAATTGCAATTAATTGTTGTTGAACAGAAGCAAGTTCGTCGGGTCTTCTGAAAATTCGCAAGTTAGAGAAGAAAAATTCACGAAGTGAATACATGGATCCGACATTTCTTCTTCCAACTTCAGATCTCATAGAACGTTTTTTTAGCGTAGCTGGATACGCCTACAACGATCTTCGCAAAAGTCTACTACCAAATAAATCTCGAAATGCAACTTTTCCTCAAAGTCAATCACAGATTCTGGAACGAGTCAACCGTGGACAGTCTCGATAGCGACATCTGAACTTTTCATTGATAATTGCAATTAATTGCAGTTTAACTTTTGTTTTTTTTCAGTTATTTGATAATTAATTGCTGAACATCCAATTAACTGCAATTTAATTGTTTTGATCTCAATTAATTTTTGAAAAGCCCTGTGCATACTAGCCCTCCCGCTCTTTTCCCTAGGAAAATACAACGTTTGGACAAACTTTGGATCATGTTTACTATTCCCCCCCCCCCCCTATGGTACCTTGTAAAGAATTTCCCCCTATAAAAACACATTTCATTTATGCTCAACTGGATTGGTTTTTTATTTCTCAGAAATGTGTTCTGTCGCATTCCTATTGGTTGACGTTATTTTAATTCGCATTCCTATTGGTTGACGTTTTTTCAATAAATTTTATCCAAACCTTGTTAACTATCTACCCCCTTTTGCAATAGGGGGGGGGGGGGGGGGAATAGTTAACATGATCCCAAATTTGTTCTCTAACGTATTTGGAAGAAACTTTGTTGGTGTTTGATGATTTCACGTGCTTCTAAAACCTTAGAGCTTTTCTTTTTTATGGGAGCCGTTTTGATTTGGATTTCAAAAAAAATCGGATTTAAAGTTTTAACTTTCATCTTTTTTATCTAGGCTCTTCATACCATCGAAAGGAAAATAATTAAGGATGTCATCCCAAAAATATGGAACGCTTTCATAATATTAAAACAACGCTTGGGAGCGCCCATAATTGGGAACGCTCATAATATCAAACTGCCGCGCTTGAATTCTCTGGGTAAGCGTCGCATTATGGGGCTATTCTCATGCGCGGACCAAACGTCCAAAAATTCTCAACCAATCAATCCAATTTAAACTGTCCAAAACTGACCGTTTTTATCGCTCATGTGCATCTATTTTATAAATAATGAATTCTGATTGGCTGACAAATCCCCCTGTCGCATTATATTTTCGGCGAAAATCGCCGCTTCAAACAAATTACATGCATTTTTGAAACACTTGAAGACATTTTATTCTGTGAATAGCCGTGATTAGCTTTAAAAGACAAGTATGTGCAAAACAAATGGCGCATTAAATCGAATAGAGTAAGTGGCTTAATATATGAAATTTATTCTAAGTGGACTGTTTTTGCTTGATCCTGAGTGGTGGTTTAGGCTGAAAGCACTTCTGTCGTCTGAACAGCAGATGTTTGTGGTTGAGATGGAGGAGAGTGTGGAGACTCCGATTGAGCGACAGCTGAAGATGAGGCAGAGGGCCAAGGACCTCCGACAGCAGAGGGAACGGGAGAGGGAGGAGCTGGTGGCCACTTTAGAAGACCAAAGATGGAGGTCTGGTGCTCCAATTATGCTAACTGATCTTTAAGTTGATCAAATTTAATCGAGTGATCAAAATCAGTGAAATAATCGAAATTACTCGAATAATCAAAATCAGTTTAATAATCGAAGTTATTCGAATAATCAAAATCAGTTTAATAATTAAAATCAAACGCTTAATCAAAATATTTGGTTAATGGATTGTTTGGTTAATTGATTTTGGGTTAGTTTTGGTTAAAAATGATTTTTTATGTCCTTGAACAAATTTGTACGGTTGACAGTAGAGAAAACCACAGATAGCTTCACGTATGTCATACTTTAGTTAGAAGTGTAATTTCACTATTTAAAGTTATTGTCATTCGAAAAAAATATTGTGAGTTTAAGAGCAGAATCGATGTGATGAACTTGATGTCCGATTTTGATGCAAGCTCATAGGTTTTCATAAAGCAAATATTGATAAAACATAAAGACGAGAAGTATTGATGACCGACATGTTTGCATCAGCTCGTGATAGAGGTCACGGTCAACTATTTCCTCAATTCTTTTGGAAAAAAAACTACTTTGTATAGCTGGAGTTTTCTTAAATTCACACCATTTAAAACTCGGTATTTTCTTGATTTGCCACTGCAATCGAAAACCGCTTGCGAGAAATCGGTATGAGAGTTTCATTCGGTGGCTCCTCCGATTAAAACGTCCCCACACTGGTATAGTTTTTGCACTTTAATGATAGTCTATAACTCTTATAAATATTGACACTTGGATGATTTCAATAAACTCGCAGCTTGAATCGGAACTGAAGTTAAGAAAGAAGAGGATAAAAGGGTTTGTATGTGTTAGGGAGAATTGTGAGGAGTTGCGGACTGTGTTGTCGAAGAGGTCTGCGAAGAGTCTGAATGCGGAGCGGGAGAAGCAGTTGCTGGTGAAGCAGGAGAGGGAACGGCAGAACATGTTGGACGAGGAGTTCTTCATGGACTTGTGGAAGACAGAAATCGACAGAAAAGCGGACAGAGAGGTCAGTAAAAGTCAACAGAAACACTAAGAAGGTCAAATGCGTCTGAAATTATAGACTTAATTAACACTTTTTGTCGAAAGAATTTTGAAGTTTAAAGTTTCCACTTTTGATTATAATGTTTTTTTTTATTCCAAGTGGTTTTTACAGAATCAATGGTTGAATTCCGCGTGAATATTTTTACCCTGGATAGCTTTTGCAGTTTAATAATTCCATATAACTCATTGAAGTATTGAAGATTGGATGATTCAATTTCCGACCACAGAAATTTCCGACCACAGTATTAACAATCGCAATATTGATTTTTCATGTTTTTAAGGCGCTACAAGAAAATCCGGAAACTAATTTTTCTGGAGTAAAACAAAAATTTCACTGCATTAAGATAAATCTAAAAATCAGACTTATAGGCTTGCTCGATCGTTTTAATCACTCAAAGTTAGACTAAAAATCAAACACTCCAAACAGATTTTTCTCAACACTGAGAAAATCGAACCACGACTGACAAGGTTTTAAAATCAGGACTCACGACCGCAAGGGCTTTAAAATTTCATATCACTCAACTCATTCCGATAATTTTGGTCCTGGTTTTGCTTGGAAAAAAAACTAAAACATTCGAAGACAAAATTTCTGCCTATGTTCAATGGTCGGAATAATTATTTCCTATTATAGTTCAAATTTTTTTGTGAACAATTTTTCTATTCCATCACACATTTTCGAACAACACAAAATCGCGTCAAAACAAAAATCACACAAAGCTTCACTTATTAGGGCAAAGCTATCAATGCTATGGCTGCCCTTTAGGAATCCAATTTAGTTGTTTGAAAATTTCTTTTAATATCCGTTTTTTTAAGTCGTGATGGCAGAGTGTTTGAATTTTAGTCTCGTCTAGTAACGCGATATTTGGATCAAATAACTTCTCAATTAGCCAGATAAACTCATTGTTTTTCACATTAATTCTTTCAAAAGTTACTGAAAATAGATATTTATTTCCTATTTTTTTTTAATTTCTAAAAGTTAATTGCTTTTCATAAAGCCTGCTTACGATTATTTTGAGCGATTCCATTTAGCACATTTTGTTACAGAAGGAATATATTTCAAATAGGTTGTTTCGCCTGAAAAACGTTTTTTATGTTTAAAAATGATTTTCAAACAGTAAAATAAAGTCCTAACTTAAAATTTTGATTTGAGCAAATAACGAGAAATAGTTGTTAGTATTTCAAAAATTTTGTGTTTAGTTATACATATTGCGCTTCAATTACTATCTTTTTTCTTAAGTTTTTTTTTAAAAAAAAATATTTTTTGAACATTTTTTTGTCATTGCAGCAGAAATCTTTTGTTGTGCAGAGTGCAATCTGCATGGTAGTAGCTTAAAAAAAATTATACTTATTTTCCTTGAACAATTTATCTAGATAGCATTTATCTAGAGAGCATACTTGAAAAATGATGATAATTTTTTTCCTGTTTCAAAATAGCCACATCTCTGTTTCCTGTATAAGTTTTTTTACTTTACGTTTTTTGTTTTCTCTTTTTTCTGTGCATTAGTCTTAAAAGGTTTTTGGCTGATATTATATTGGCCTAAAGCCTTCTTTTTTTCTAACCTAAGTCGCAAGTATTGGTGCCTTTTTTGGGAAACTTTTACATTTTTTTGATAGCCTGTGCTTTGAAATTCGAATAAGAATGAATTAACACAGTTGAGGCATTTTAAATTCATCAAATGAACCGAAAAAAGCTTTTTGTTTCAAACAACAACAATAAATAATAACTCGATCTAAGAAACTTTCTAACTGAATATATCTTGCATTTTTTTGAAATCCATAATTTATACATAATTTGGCTTTATGCTTTCCGATTTGTTAAATGCAAAGTTAGTGTTAAATGCTTCAGTTTGTTGTATTCCAAATTATTACTTGCAAAATTGTGTCTATTTCAATTTGGTGCCACTTTTGCTGAAGCGCGCTGACAATTTATTAGCATATGTAGCTGCTCCATTCGTGAATAGTGTTTGTCGATGGTTAAGCGTGCGTGGCTGAGTGGGTAGTGCGTGAGACTCAAAATCTCTATATTGCAGTAGGCCCCAGATCGTAACCTAGACCTAGCCGAATTAATACTAATTCGAGGTTTATTTTAATTTTTATTGCACTTTCTAGAGTTGCTTGTTGTCGTGTTCTCGCTAGTGTTTGCGATGCGAAGCATCGTATCTGTATTAATTTTTCGGCGCAATGTGCGTTTGCTAAAAAAATATCGGCTTTGTTACCGCTTTGTAAGTTTTGTATCGGTGCTTGTTTAAAATTCAATTGTCTTACATCTTGGCATGTTTTTAATGGAGTTTTTATTCAAGACTAAATCAAGACAAATGTACGAAGTTTTTTTTATTAGATCAGTTTGTTTGATACTTTTTCAGAAAAAAATTTCTTCGGTTTTCATAGTTAAAAATGTGCAAATTTAAGTTTGCACGAATGGGTTTTAGGCAAAACAGAGTTTTTTTGGGATGAAAACGACAGGGCTTAGGTACTTTTTCATTTTTTTTTTGTGCTAGCTGCAGTATTTACCGTTTTCCCTTAGAAGAATTGTTGTTTACCTACTGCAGGGTGTTGTTTTCAGACTCTAGACGCACAGGCGAAGCTGGAACGAGACAGGGACATGTTGAGTGTGCTGCGCGAACAAATGGCGGCTCACGAGAAGGCGAGAGACGAGGAGACCAAAATCAAACAGGAGGAACACGAACTGCTCGTGAGTAGAATTAATTATAATAACAGAGAAATTTCAAAGTCATCTTACATTCACTCAAGAGTCTTTTTTTAAATAAACAAGAGCGTATATTCATAACTCGTTCTGATGACAATTATTTTTCTTCTTTTTCTTAGGATTAAAAAACCAATCGGACTTAGTGAACAGATTGTGCTACTTACTTCTTCTAATATATCAAAAAAAGCTATTGCACAGCTCTTGTGATTTAATTAAACTTTGTTGCGACTTACTTCATTTACCATTTCATCTGTTAATTTTTAAATTTAATCTTACATTTGATCTTACAATCAGTTGATATTGTTTAAAAATGGTGCTTTGTGTTAAATTCATTGAAAATGGTGTGGGACTGTTTGGGGTTTGAGTTTGAGTTTGACCTGTTTCAGGTGCAAGAGGGTAAACTGAGGGCGTATGAAGAGGAACAGGAGAGGCTGAACAAAATGAGACAGCAAGAGGCTACCAGGAACATGTATGCACTCTCCATCAAACAAAGGTACATTTGAACATACATACACACCCACACACATGGGGTAGAAAGGCGGTTATTTGATTGCAGGAGAAAAAATTGGTACTCTTTAAGTTATTTGAGTGAAAAAAAAACGGAACCTGAAATTTCTTGGCACAATTTATAGGAACAATAAGTTTATTCGCGTCTAGTCTTTAATTTTTAATTTTCAAAACCAAAGCTCAAAATTGAAAAACATTTCTTATGCGATAATTTTGAGAAAGTTATAGGATATTGAAATAGGGACTAGTTTGACCTCTATAACTCAAATGGGATACTTGGTCCTATGAAAGCGTAATCATTCCAAATTGAATTGAGGCAATCAATTTGTTTTTATTAATTAGTTACTAGACCAAAATGTTTCACTCTGCACTTAAGACAGCGTGTGGGGTGATAAAGTTAAATAAAAAACATCCGTTTTCTTTTTTGTTTGATTTTTTCAAGAATTTTTCTAAACAAAAAACTTTTGATCAATCTTTAGGGCAAGTGAAACATTCAAGGTTATGGCACGAAATTGGACGCATTTTCGAGTTTTTGTTCTTTTTCGGCTATTACTTTTCAACATAAATCAGGTTCCTCAATGAAATCGCAGACGAAGTCAAGTATTATACCATATTAAAACCCAGTCAGTCATAATTCCATTTAAATAAAAATTATTTGAAAAAAATCTCTGTGTCGAGAAAAATGGGTTCGAAAATTTTGCGCTGTATTCCAATTTAGAATGATTAAAATGAGCAAGAAGAGCAAAAATTCTTAATTAAGCTAAATATTCCTATCCCTACATCGCGCACTAAAAACGACTCCAATTTGAAAGAATTGAAGAAAAATGGCATTTGAAAAATAACTGGTCAAACCCTTCTATACTGTTTGCAGAGCAACCGGCAATTCTTGTTTTTTCAACTTGCGAAGAAATTGACGGAATTTTTGTGCTCTGGGTTTTTTTCCGTAGAAAAGTTTTGACTTTTTAACAAGCAGTTTTTGACGGAATTTTAAATAGCATCAAAAGCTGTTGATGTCTTGAGCTCAAATTTAAAAACCATGTTCACCTGAGATTAGGTTTTGCTATCAAAGGTGTGATCAGGTTTTGCTAAGTTATTCACCTGTGATAAGGTTTTACAATTTGAATTGTGCCCAGAGAATTGAGCGACGCTTTTTGTTCTGACAATTTTTAAAGTAAATGACAGAATATTTGTGCTCTGGTGGTTTTTCTCCAGACAAATTTCGACTTTTTAACCAGCGATTTTTGACGGAATTTTTTAGTCGTTCAAAAGGTATTGTTGTCTTGCGCTTAAATTTGAAAAGGTATATCACCTGTGTTCTTTTTGGTAAAGTTATGGGGGTTAAAAGGTTGCCATGTTGGGCAATTTGGTACAATTAACGCGCGATATTTTTCGTGCTATTAACGTGTAAGAGGGGGTTTAATCTCTTAGAAATCGTTCCAAATTGGCTGAAGGAAGCTTATTTGCCAAAATTGATTTTTTACTAGGCGCAAAATCTATCTCTTTGTACGTTATATGGCGTGTGGGGGATAATTTTTGATTTTCTTAAGAAATCCCAATTTAAAAAAAGTTTTCAATACATTTTTACATTTAATTTTTTTCATGTCATTACTGCTCCATAGACCTTAAAAGGCACTCGGAACATTCAGGGCTTTGTTCTGATACGAGCAGTCTTGTTACCAATCTGTATGCTAAAAATACTGTATGCGAAGAATTCTTTGTACTTTAGCGAGTTCTTTTTAAGCGAACACTACTCCTTAGACCTTAAAATGCAATTTGAAGATTCAGGGCTTCGCCTTGATCCGAGCAGTCTTGTTGTTATTCATATTTAGTTAGTACCAGACAACTTAAACGTTGCGCCACAACGGGACTATTTGGAGTTTGGGTTTTCATCTGAATTTCTTTCAATTGAGCCTATTTGAAGACTTATTTGAAAATCATTCAAGGGAGTTTTTCTGCAAGTTATACATCACGTTTTATACGGTTTTACTTTTATTCTTTACGCAGCAGTTATACGATTATAAGTTATAGTTTGAAAACTTTATACGACAATACACTCCCGGGTTGACAAAAAATGCTATTCGTACAAGTTTCATACTATGAATCATACTTCTAGAAAATTGTAAAGTAAAATCGACGACTATTATCTTCGCGATACTATGAAACTGTTTCACAAAATGAACATTCGAGCCATGAAACTGACTACTGTTTCATATTATTCATAATTATTCATACTATTGAAGTTATACCGTCAGTAGTATGTTGAGTGTTTGTTTGTTTTCTAGGATGAAGAGGCAGGCGAAAGAGGAGCAGGAGGAACTGGCCTTGGACATGAAGATCCTCGAGAGTCTCATCGAGGAGACGAAGAACGAAGCCGTAGAACAGGCCATGAAAAAGGTACACTACACAATAACACAAGCCATAGAGGACATGACTTAAATGACAAAAAGCGCCATAATCAGTCTGAGTCTTGTGTCTATATTTTTTTGAAAAAAGGAGGAATACTCCGAATGTTTGCGACGCCCTTTCACTTTTGAATCAGGATGTTAAGACTCTGGGCTTCTCTGAGTTCTAGAATCGTCGTATTGATCAAGGAATTCTCTAAGACAGGCCAGGCTTGCACCGAATGCCTCGTGGAAACTGCTCAAATTTTATGCACATTGGCTTATTTGGAATATTTTTATTGTTTGTTAACCATATTTTCAAAAATATTGATGTCACTTTTGGAAGATATGTATTGTTTATTAACCATATTTTGATCACGAAATGGGACTCCTTGCTACTGCTTTATGATGTCATGGCCCATCATGGCCACCCAATCCATCCGATAAGTGGATAATTTGAATATGGTCAAATAACTACAATTGGTTGCCGGGGGGCCTCGATTGATGAAGTTTTTGAGCTGATTTTGGACTTAACTGTTGGTTCTAAACTGATGTGATTGGATTGTTTTGTTGCAGGCGCGTCTGCGGGCGGAGTTCCAGCGATACCGGGACTACCTGGCCCAGCTGAAGGCGGAGGAGAGTAAGCAGGAGAAGGAACTGGAGGCGATGTTGGAGGTGGAGCAAAAGAAGGTGTTGGAGAAACAGAGGCAGCAGTTTTACCGTGAGAGGGCCGCTCGACAGAAGTTGCTACAAGAGGTCATCGCCAGCAGAAAGGCACAGATACATGCTAGAAGTGAGTATTCTAAATAAGGGTTACGGGTCTATGACAAATAAATTGTCAGCTGCTGTTGACAGTTGGGTACCGAATGATAGAGGGACCGACCGGGGAAGGACCGACCAAGATTTATTTTCTTTTGGTAGAATTTCAAATTTAGCCAATCAGAATTGAGCATTCAAAAACTTCAAAGAGCTATAGCTGTATAGCTGAGGGTGTGTTTTTGTCCGGCAAATTTTAAGTACAACAGGGAATCAAGTTCTCTGTAACGAAAAAAAAGTCTTGTGGAACTTTTCAGTTTTTCAGACTTATTTAAATTAAATTTGAACCTAAGACTTATGATGGAGGAACGGGGATGATATTTTTATTGTTAATTTTTTGTCCCATCATGCATTTTATATGTTATCTTAGCTATATTATCTCAATTTTTCAATTTGTTATCTAATCCCACTACCTAAAATAACAGCGGAAAATTTTTGGGAATGTTTTTATAATAGCTTCACTTAAATTCGGAACAATCGGCCCTACTTGCACAGCAAGTACATTCTGTGACCTTTTTTTAGGTTGACCGAATTGATTTTCCGAGTGTTCCCAGAAGACTAATGAAAACTCTATTTTGGGAAATTTTGCACCGCAGACAAAAAAGGCGTTTTTTCGGCGAGCGCTCCCCCCTCAAATTAGTGTGCGAAGGCGCTTTTAGAAAATTTTTAAGGTCAGTCAGCCAAAAATGGATATCCCAAAATCGTACAAAGGGGGGAATTTTATATACTACTTACCTTGATATATAAAAACTAATTTTGAGGGGGGTGTGCGCGCCAAAAAAACGAGACTTCTTCACAAAATTTTCCAAAAAATGCCTAAAAACGGCTTTTTGATCTGTTTTTTTTAAACATTTGCCTGAGACGCAAAATTTTTGGCCAAAATAGGGTCTTTTAAGTGTTTTGGGAGCGCTTGGAAAATCAATTTAGCCGATCCTAAAAAAAGTCGACACAAATTTTGACATTTTTTTTTAAAAATCCGCCCCCCCCTCGAGAAAATCGTAGATCCGCCCCGGTTGACAGAAGGGTTTATTTCTCAGAGAACGATATTTTCGCTGCAAAATTTCTCTTGGTCGGTATGATATTGCTGTTTCTTATGTAGCAGCTATTTCAACAAGAGCAGCCCGTTGCTGTTCAAAACGCACAGATTGTTCCGACCAAATTTATCTTGACAAAATATTGAAAAATAGAATCGATTCGGAGTGTAGAGGCTCCAAGACACGCTTGATGAACTATCTAATCTGGTCGTAAAACCAAAGCTAATCAGCCTAATGATTCTCGTCAATCGAAATAACTTTTTCAAAATTTTTGTTTATTGATCGGATTAGGATTGAAAGGGCTGTTTAATAATATATTCCTCGACCGAGTCTTTTTAGCGCCTAAGTTTGCGAGGAAAAAACGTCTCAAAAGTTGTAGTTGTCGGAGAGAGTTGTAGATAGCTTGTATGTCTTAAATTTAAATGTCTAATCTCCAAATTTAACCATTGAGCTTTCCATTTCAACTCACAAATAATTTGGCTAGCTTTATTCTAGCTTGGGTTGTGTACTTTAAGGAAAGAGATATAGAAACGATAAAAACGGTTTTCATTAATTTCAATATCAAATTCGAGCAGTATCTATGATTTGAAAATATCTTATTTTAACGACAAAAATCAGAACTACAAAAATAATTATGATAATTATCTATTGAAGTTCTCTGATTTGGGTCAATAAAATTGATATTTTCAAACCACACTGCTCGCCTTGGACTTAAAAATTAATGAAGATCGTGTTTCTCGATTTTTTTTGAGATAATCTTTATTTATTGGGAAATTCGCCATTTAAAGCAATTTTTCCTTTTAGACAACCGAGACTCTTCGTGTTTGATGGGGTTTTTGGTGAAAATGGCTTAAATTTCATTAGTTTTTTTAAATGTTTCACCCCACACAAATGCCAGGCCGAAGTGAAATCTTTTCAAAAGTCTAATCACGTATAAGTAATTCAAAACTTGGAACCAATTAGCTAGCCTCAATCTAATTTGGATGGACTTCTGAGCCGGAGTCAGTAGCCGCCTGCGTTACGCGCTAAGAGAAAATCTGATTTTTTTTTCGCGCATTACTTATACCAATTTGTTATTTTTTAAATATCCGTAACTTTGAAAAAATGGTCACCGGTGAATTGTAGTCTTAATTCTTAGCTCAAAAAATCAATATCTTTTAGACTGTTTAAAATTTTTTTTTTGATTTACCGCCTCCGCAAGAAAAATTAAATATTACGTGACTAGTTAATTCTGGCATATCATAGATGTTGCACTTTAGTTGAGCTTATTTTTTATATAACTTTTGAATGCGTATGGTTACTTCGTCCGACGTCCCATGATGTTATTGAAAACGGGGATTGCAAAAATTTTCATTATAGAGTTAATCCACCTGGTGTCGTTGGCAGATTTTAGCTCAGTGAATATTTCTAGCAAAAGTATAATCAGCATGCAACAATTTTGCTTAAATCACGCCACTGATTAAAATGATTATCAAGCAAATTATTAGAGCTTAATGTTTACGCTGGAAAAGTTGAATGTCAAAATTCAGTATGGTACACAACCACTCTTCTGTATTCTTTCCCTCTAGTTTTTTTTTTTCGATTTGACTTTGAACAATAAAGTAGATATGAATATTCCTCGCAAGCAGTTTGTGGCATCTGGAAATATCATCTTGCTGTTGACACAGTCAATTTCCGTAGAAAACCAGCCGGAGTCTTCATTGTGGATTTTTTTTGTATCTGCAAGTTATCTATCGTCCTGGCATATCTTCAGAGTTATCCACATAACCATAAAAGAAACTTCGCGTCTCCAATAATACTGGCGTCAAATAGTTTTGTGATTTGCAAATCCCTGTTTGTAGCTCGTTGTCGGTTGTTCTGTCACCATCTCACATATCATACATATTGCATTTAAATTGAGCTTATTTTTAAATAACTTTCGAATGCTTATTGTTAGTTCTTCCGACGTCATTGACGTTATTGAAAACGGGGATTGCAAAGTGTTTTTTTAAATAGAATTAATCCACCCGGTGTCGATGGTAGAATTTAGCTGAGCGAATACTTTTGGTAAAAGTATAATCAGCATACAAGAACTTTGCTTAAATAACGCCTCTGATTAATTGTTTATCAAGCATTTTATTAAAGTTCATTGCTTACGCTGAATAAGCTGAATGTCAAAGTTCAGTATGATACAGTAACTGACGTGAAAAAAATCTGAAGAAAAAATTACCCTAAACATGCGTGTTTCGTTCTTTTTTTGAAAGTGGAATTAAAAGTTTCGTGTTTTTCTTAAAAACTCAAAAAGCTGATTTGTATAATGAAAAGATTCAAAAATTTGTTTTTCTTTGTCTGGCCCCAAAGTTTGTACTAAACATGAAGTTGAATTAAAAAGACCAATTTGAATTCTACAAAACCGAACTGTTAAAAGAGTGATTCAGCGTTGAAAGAATGATTTTTCAGCGTTGCTTTGGGTTATGCATGCATTTCGTTTTCTGTTCGCATTGCGAATTCACCAAGCCACATATGCATGATCGCAAGCTTCCTTTTATTGGGAGTTAGCATTTTTGCTAGTCGACCATTTTTTTACATCATTTTCACGGATGGATAGTCAAATTACTTAATTAAACTAATATTACTGTCAAGCATCCGGATTATAAGGAAGGATCAAATTAACTTCTTCCAAACCCTGCCTCTCAATAGACCTAATTAACCTTTTTCACCTCTATTAAAACTAGTTCAAATTCACAGCTTTGTTTTTAGAATACTCGGCTGAAAACTCCAATTTAGAACGAACTTTTATCCCTCTTTTGAGTCTAAACTTCCTTTTTGAACGAGTGGGTTTGTGTTGGATATATGGGCAAGGCCATTTAGTAGTAGTTGCATGACTATTTATTTATTCGATTTAAGTTTCGAATTTGTGTTCGACTTTATGTTTCGACCGACTCGACTTTATGTTTCGAATTTGAGTTCGACTATAGGGCCTTCTAGACTACGGGTTTTCGGTCGACCTCTGACATGTGTTTGACCCGCGTCGGTCGAAACATAAATCGCAACAAAAACTGAATAAAAGCTAAGTCAATTCTTTTGTTGTGCTCATTCAAAACCAAATTTTTAAAAGAAAATATTGAGATTGATAGCCGGAATGTTTAATGTTGTGGATAGCACCCCCCTCAGGACTTCGACCACCTACAGACCCAAAGAGTCCCCCCTTTGTGCTATTTTGAGATATTCATTTTTGGCTTACTGATGAATATCTCCCCCCCCCCTCCGCTCCCCCCTAAATCCGCCCCTGTTACTGACCCTAAAAATTTTTTAAAGGTGCCTTGGGCGCCAAAATATGCTAATTTTGAAGGCGGATCGCGCGCCCAAAAAACCGTTTCAAAAATTTGCCTGCCACGCAGAAAATTTGCTCAAAATGGGGTCTTTGTAGTGTTTTGGGAGAGCTCAGAAAATCAATTTGGTCGAACTTAAAAAAAGTCGACAAAAGTTTTGAATTTTTTTGAAAACCCGCCTTCCCCCCTCGAAAAAATTCTAGATCCGCCCCTGGTGGATAGTGTTAGTATCATGAAATGTGGTTGGCTAATACGTAATTGAACATCTTTGCGAAATTTTTTATTTTTATGCTGTTTTATCTTTATGCTTAAGTTACGGTTCCCAATTAAATAAAAGAAATTGTGGAAAATAATTCGAATCATGCTTTCAGTCGAAAACTGCTGGTAGCATATGACTTTTCAATTAAGTTTTGTTTTCCTTTTCCAATAATCCTCTTCCATCGCACATTACTCCCCTCACTGCACAAAAATCTCAGTGTGTTAGGGGGGCTGTAATTTTTAATAGCAAGCATGATGAGTACAGCAGGTATTGTCTAAGTTTTGATGGAACTGCTTTCATATCTTCGCAAAGACATTGATGCCTTGAGCTCAAAGTTGAAAAGATATATCACCTGTGACCATGTTTACTGCACTTTCGAAAACAACCCGTCGAGGGCCGCAAAAAAAACCACCGCGCGACCAGCGCAACTGATAGAAGAAAATGGCGGGACCAGCGCGACTGATAATCGCCAATTACGGACCGGTTCGACCAAAAAAACGCCGCGACCGGCGCGAGGAAACAAAAAACCCAAAGTTCCATTTGAGTCCCACCGCCAAAGTCTTTTTTTTGCGCCGCCAGTCTTTTTTTTAGTCGAACCGCCGCAATTTTTTTGATGTTACCACACCAAAGTCTTTTCTTTACTCGCGTGGACCTTTAGCCGCAAAGTGTGAATCGGAAACTAGACGTTTTCTCTCATAAACAGCTTTTCTTACAAACATGCAAGACATTAAGTGTGACCTATTAAGACGTACCAAAAGTGTTACCTATTAAGATGTACTTATTCTAGTAGACTTATTGTTCCGACTTTCGATACGAAAGTAACGGAATATTTGTGCTCGGGTGGTTTTTTTTTTCTTCAGACAAATTTCGACTTTTTAACTAGCCATTTTTGACGGAATTTTTTTATATCATTCGAAAGGTATTGTTGTCCTGAGCTCAAATTTGAAAAGATATTTCACCTGTGATTATTTTTTGTAAAGTTATGGGGGTTTAAAGATTGCCATTTTGGTCAATTTGGGACAATTAACGCGCGATATATTTCGCGCTATTAACGCGTAAGCGGAGAGTTAATCCGTCTTAGAAATCGTTCCAAATTGGTTAAAAGAAGCTTATTCGCCATAATTGGTTTGTTACAAGGAGCAAAATCTCTCCTTTTGTACTTTGTATGGCGTGTGGGGGGATGATTTTCATAAAAAATTTCAAATTTTGGAAAAAAAAAAGTTTTTCATTTTCTTTTTTCTTACATTTAATTTTTTAATTTTATTACTGCTCCAAAAACCTTAAAAGGCAGTCAGAACATTCAGGGCTTCGCCCTGATACGAGCAGTCTTGTTCTATTTCTGCCTCGTTTCGGTTCTGAGGTAGATCGGTTTCGGATAGCTGGTTGGTTGAAAACATTTCATTTCATATGTACATTAACCGTAATTATCGGAAATCACAAGTCAACAGAGAATAACGAACTGCAATAATTTTCCATATTTAAAAGCAGAATTCAACGTCATAAAAAACGCAGAATGAACAAATTGGTAAATCAAATTTTAAACAGCGCCTCAAAAACTAGTCAACTTTTGTTTCGACCTTTCAGTTTTTTTTTTACTTTTCTCACACACTGTTCTTCGTTCACCAGAAAAATCATTAGTTACGACCTTGATTTTTTCTAGCTAAAATTCTTGCGAGAACATATTTATTTTATGCTATGCTGACGATTTAGATACCGCGCTGATTTTTTCAAAAGCCGAGTTTAATCCCCCTTAAATGGGTTATCACCAGTGTATATCGCGTTAGAGTTTTGAAATTATTATTTTTTGCCGAATAATTTCGGTATTGCTCTTTCGGTATTGCTCTTCTTCCAAGTTTTGCCTGCTTGGTCGCTCGAGGAGTACCAGCTTAATAAAAAAGTATCAGTTTGTGTTTAACATGGTGCGTGGGTAGAACAATACTTGAAAAATTGAAAATTTTCAAAACTCGATTTGAAATTTTTTGTCATTTTTCTCCCATAACTAGCTACAATACTTTAAACGGCAGTCGGAAGTTTCAGGGCTTTTTCTAAAGCAACCAGTTTTTTTAAAATCTTTTTGGGGTTATTACATAGATCCTTCGTGTCTTTTCCGGAATTAGAAAAGAAAAAGTAAATAGTAAGAAACAAGAGTGCGAACCCACAGAGCCGCATTCCCGGATAGCAAAAAAAACTAAAAGTTTCTGGTTAAGCTAATTAGTAACAAAAAATTGACTAAAAGGTAAGTTCATCGCAAAATTTGGTCCAAGTTTATTTGGACAATTAAACTATCTTGTTTTTTTTTCGGAACTTAACTAACAAAAAATCCAATAGACTCAAAATTTTTTCTGTGCGTAATAGCTTTGATTTCATGGAATTATAAAACTATTAAAGTGCGACTAATTTGATAACGCAAAAATGTGTTGGCTATCTGGGAAGAAACTTTTTTCGGCTAGCCAGGAACAACATTTTTGTGACTCTCCAATAAATTTTATTTTTGATTATCAGGGATTAAAAAGTTTTTCGGCTATCCAGTAAATAAACAAATAAGAGCAAATTTTTTAAATGTGTGCCTCCGTCGTAAAGTTTTGTCACAAAACAGATCTATATAGCGTTTCGGAGTTTTCAAGTTTTGCCGACCCAGAAATAAAGCTCGATAGAATTTTCAATTTTCTGAAGCAATCCTTTCCCCCATCATAAAATTTTTCTATTCTGAGGATCTATAAATAACTTGGGATGGGTGGGCGGCGGCCATAATGGAAAAAAAAACTTTTTTTATCTATGATAATTTATTTAACATTTTCAGCGATTAATTTTTTTTTGATGTGGCAAGTTTTTTTTCCGTCATGCTTTGATCTTTCCGTAGCAACCTAATGACCATACCTTAGTGGGGGTGAATTTTACATGAAATGTTTCACATAACTAGCATTCAGGACAATTGTTTAATAGCGAGATAAATTTTAGTCTACTCATTATACAGTGCTGATTTGAATTCGCCGGGCAAAATGAACAAAATTTGATTTTTTGGTCTCGTTTTTCTCAACTTAAGACAAAACAAAAAACTAGTAAGAGTCAAAGCTGCTTAGAATTTTACGAGAATTATTATGGTGCAATTTGCTTTGCGAGTTTCAGAACCAAAATTTTACCCCAAAAATTGGTCAGTTTGATTTTTTAAATTTAATCAAGATTTACGATGAAATTACCAACTGAATGGATTAAAAAAGTTAATTCAAAACAGCCTCCTACACAGCCCAACAAAGTTCTAGGCAAGTAAAATATCCAAAACCTGTATAAGAGAAATTTTTTTAGATATTTGTTGGGCTGTGTATTACGCTCTTGATATAATTTACTCATCAATTCACCATATGTATCATTTTATTTCTCGATTATCTTAACAAAGCTAACATGGCCCAGTTTTAGGGTAAAAATTTTTTCCAAAAATTGCAAAATTATTTGCACCATATTATGTCTAGTAACTAAACAACTTTTGTTCTCTTCTTTTTTGTCTAATTTCAACCCAAGTTGAGAAAAAAAAATGCGTTCAAGGTTTCAAGTTTTGTTCATTATATCTGGATAAGATACAGCACTGTAGCTTCGATCAAATGATTCTTTTTGCCCTTGAACCATTCTGGTCAATACAATTCCTCTATTTCTTTGGATGTACTTAACTATCCCCCGGCATCAACTTAAGAATTGCCACCTCTATAAATAAAAGCAGTTAACTAGCACTAGAGCTTTCTATTTATGATTCGAATTTTGCTGCATTCCGATTGGGCGAAAATTCGACTAACTTAATCTACTTAACAATTACCGCCCATTTTCTTCAAAAACAAAATTGTTAAAGAGATTTTATTTTCTTTCAAATTTTTGATTGATATTCGACTATCATTAGTTTTGCTTTTCTTTTCTCATCGACTGTGTTTCTAACCTAAATTTAAATCTCTCAAATTCAATTTGGATATGCACAAATGGACATGAAAATTTAAAATCAATCGGAGATCTTTTTTGCAGTGAGTTATGTACCCCGTAAAGAATACTTCTACGCTTTGCAATAAGGGTACATGAGTAACTAACGAGATTTTGGACAGTATGGATGGTTATGGATTTTTGGACTTATTCGCCCAAATCCATAACTTTCAAACCTAAAGAATGAAATCAGAAACAAAATGCTTAATGCTTGAGTTGCAAAAACAGATCTTCACTCAACAAAAAGAAGTCTGGAATATGGTGAGATAATACAAATGGACTATCCTTCGACAGGCCTGTTAAGGCCTACTGATAGCTCCCTCTGCGATTAGCAAGAACCTTAATTATTACGGTTTTTTTAATTGGTTGAAATTCAATATAACTTCGAAATAAATACAGTTTGAACAAGCGTTCATTTAGTAAATGTCGAGCTGCTATTTTTTTTTCGTGGAATATGTAAAAAAACGCATGATATTTTTAGTGCTTGAAATTGAGGAAGAAAAGAAGCAAGCTGTAATCGACAAGGAGAACACTCTGAAAGCACTGGCCGAACACAAGGCCATAGAGGAGGCGGAGAGACAAGCTAGCGTGAAGAAAGCGAAGGAGTTCCAGAGTCAATTGAAGGGCCAGATGGACTTCAGAAACAGACTGCAGGCCCTGGCTCACGAGGAAGAGTACCGGACCCAGTTGCGACAATACGAGGCAGAGGCCGACTACCAGGTATGCTTTTAATGCTGTCCAGCAAATTACACGACAGCTGTTAAGACGATAACTGCTTTTGGTGGGATTTTAAAACGACGCTGAGATGCTACTTTCTCAGAAGTATAATTCGCTTGAACTCAAACAGTTAAATTATATGTTTCAAATCTCATTTGTCGTCTTAGTGCCATGTCGTTTTAATGTCTTGTCTTATTTACTTAGCACCGCTTTTTATTATAAATGTAGCGACCGTGACCAAGTGTTGTCAATTTTGTTGTTCCGAATTTCGAAGAAAGCGAGGAATATAATTGCATGGAGTGTTTTTTTTTTAATTCAGACCGATTTTACAAAAGTTGACAGCGTATGGGTATCGCTCCAGAAATCTTAGGATTGCACTGGGCTAAACTGTGAATAGCATCTCTGCTCGGAGAACACTTTGATTGTTCCGATTGGCGAATTATATATGCGTTGCACTCACAGTCGTGTCAATTGAATAGAGGCCAACTATAATTGGTTTTATTGATTCTACTCAAATTTTAGCACTTGCATTTGATATCGGCAGAACAAAATTTATAGTTTTTCAAGAAAATTTATAACAAAAATTATTCGAGATCATTTAAGGAGCAGTCAAAAAATTCAGGGTTTTGCTATGATATACGAGCAGTCTTGTTATTATTCCGAACTTTGTAACGAAAGTTACGGAACATTTGTGCTCGAGGTGGTTTTTTTCTTCAGACAAATTTCGACTTTTTAACTTGCCATTTTTGACGGAATTTTTTCAAATATCACTCATTGTTGTCCTGAGCTTAAAATTGAAAAGACATCTCACCTGTGATCATTTTTCGTAAAGTTATGGGGATTTAAAGATCGCCATTTTGGCCAATTTGTGAAAATTAAAGCGCAATATATGTCGCGATATTTACGCTTAAGCGGAGTTTTAATTCGTCTTAAAAATCGTTCCAAATTGATTGAGGAAGCTTGGGTCGTATGCACTAAACGGCCCAAAATCGGTATTTCGTCATCTTTCGTGAACTGATCGGCAATTTATACGCTCAAGTTCAAATAACATGGTCTTGCATTGAAATTTCTAACAGATAAAATTGTTGGCCGACATGACCAAAACTATTAAGTTTTTAATCTGCTGAAGCCATTTTTTTGAGTTTTTCTCTCGGAGAAAAACTTACCTTGTGACTGGAAAATAATTTTTTTATAGTGCAAAGTGTAACAATTTTGGCATTTTCGGCTAATAATTTTTATCTTCTAGAAGTTTTGATTGAATTGCCCATACATGTTGGTTGAATTTAATTGGCTAATATTAGCCAATCGGATTTGACTGCATAAATTTTGGCTCAAGATGTAAAAGTATTGATTTTGGGCCGTTTTGTGCATAAGACCCGGAAGCTTATTTGCCATAATAGATTTGTTACTAGAAGCGAAGGGTCTTATGCACTAAACGGCCCAAAATCGGTATATCTACATCTTTCTTGAACTCAAAGTAAGACGGTTGAATCTGATTGGCTAATCAGACACTCAAATTCAAACAACATGGTTCGGCATTTCAATTAAAATTTCAAGACGATGAAATTGCTGCCGAAATTACCAAAATTAAAAAAAATTTTTTGCTGAAGCCATTTTACGAAATGTTTTTGGCCCGGGCCAAATTGCAGCTACTTGAAAAAAATATGATTTTAGTTACAGTTTCACATTTTGGTATTTTTGGCTAATATTTTAGCTGCTGAAAGTTTTGATTGAATTGCCTGAACATGTTGCTTGTATTTGAATGGCTAATATTAGCCAATCAGATTCGACCGCATAAGTTTCAACTCTACATATAAACATTGATTTTGGGCCGTTTTGTGCATAAAACTTGAAGGGAAATCTATCACTTTGTACTTTATATGGCGTGCATGATGGCGAGGAATGATTTTCACAAAAACTCAAATTGAAAAAAAAAATTCATTTTTATTTAGTTTATGTTAAATTTTTTCATGTTATTATTGCTCCATAGACCTTAAGAGGCAGTCGGAACATTCAGGGCTTCGCCCTGATACGAGAAATTTTGTTACTATTATGGTTTTTATTCATTTATTATAAAACTTTGTTTGATACCCAAGTGTTGGTTTTGCGTGTTTGATTTTCGTCCAGTTTGGTGGATTTTACAAAGGGTGCTAAGGAGATCAGACGCCAAGAATTTAAGACGACGTGACATTAAGACGACAGATGAAAGTTTGAACGTGTAAATTGAACTGTTCAAGTTTAAGCAAAATATGTTTGTGTGTAGCGTCGTCTCTTGTCGTCTTAATGCCATGTCGTTTTAATGTCTTGTCTTATTTACTTAGCACCGCTTTTTATTATAAATGTAGCGACCGTGACCAAGTGTTGTCAATTTTGTTGTTCCGAATTTCGAAGAAAGCGAGGAATATAATTGCATGGAGTGTTTTTTTTAATTCAGACCGATTTTACAAAAGTTGACAGCGTATGGGTATCGCTCCAGAAATCTTAGGATTGCACTGGGCTAAACTGTGAATAGCATCTCTGCTCGGAGAACACTTTGATTGTTCCGATTGGCGAATTATATATGCGTTGCACTCACAATCGTGTCAATTGAATTGATTTTCGTCCGATTTGAGCGATTTTACAAACGGTGCTTAGGAGATCAGACGCCAAGAGTTTAAGACGACTTGACATTAAGACGACATATGAAAGTTAAAACGTGTAAATTGAACTGTTCAAGTTTAAGCAAATTATATTTGTGTGTAGCGTCGTCTTAATATCCATAAAAGAGCTGTTGTCGTCTGATTTGCCGGGTCTTATGCGTTAAACGGCCCAAAAATCAAAATTGAAGCAAAATGAAAACTAAAACTGAAACTGATCCTGATTGGCTAATATTAGCCAATCAAATTCGAGCAACTATGTCAGCCATTTTGATTGATACTGAGATTAATCCTAATTGGCTTGTTTAATATGTAATAACTGAAGTAATTGTATGTTTATTACGTGTTTTCAATTTGAAATGAAATTTTTGACTATTTTCCTAATTTTGGGCCGTTCAACGCATAAGAACCGATTTGCCTAACACCTTTAAAAAAACATCATTCAAGTTCTAATTAAGTATCATCTTGAGTTCCTTTGAGTTGTGAAGCGGATTGGGACCACATTTTCAATATCTTGACCATTATTTCAATATCTTGACTGAAACTATTGTTTTTCAATCTGATTGGCCAGAATTAACAAATCAAATTTTAGAACTATCTCAAAGTGTTTTGTTCTCAATTTTAAGTCGACTTATAAACAAGCCGAAGTATCGATTTTTGGTGTCAAAGTATCAAAAATTTCGATTTCTTGTTGAACAGGAAAAAGTTAAAAGACCCGCAGACTGCAATTTGAAAAACAAATTGAAAAAGTTTTCGGTGTTGATAAAAATTATCATCACTGGGATTTGCACAGCAAAGCTTTCATGTAATTTAAGCTTTTAGTATTTTTCCAGGACTCTGTACTTAACTGTAGATTTTCTCTTTTGACCTCTAGCTTCCGCTGTACCACAGCCTGACTGATTTTGGCTGCTATAGTGGTATCAAGTTCTAGACGCAAAAAAAAACGTCCTTGAGTTGAAAAAAAGCTCCGCTCAGCAAAAACAAATCAGCTTGGAAAGTGAGGAAATAAGAAAAATAGTTGATCCTCAGACATGCTTGAGAGTCTTTCATAGATCCTCTGCGAATTGCAGAAACCACAATTAACGACTAAGCCAGCTCCCTCCCATCAAAAAAGGAATCCATTTCTTCCCCATTTTTTGAAAGTATGGCTGTGATAAGAAATTTCTGTATTACTTGCATACCCACCCGACGCTTATCGTGGGTGATAATCAATTTGTCTCCTATCAATTTTGAAGCTTATCGGTTCCACATATATCTTATTTTTTAGGTCAAATTGAGAACTGCCTTGGAGAAGCCACCCGACAAATTGCACCCTGCCTGGAAGCAATATTACCAACAGGCAACTTCGGCCAAATAAACCATCTACTCAATGAATTATCGGCTAACAAAGTTATCTGCCAACATAAAACTTTGGTGTGAACTGAATTTTTAGTTCATAAATCTTAGGTTAGGTAAGTTGGTATCATTGAGATGCATGTAAAATTTGCAGAACTTTTTGGCGCAGTTATACACTTAAGGCTGATGCTGTTTGTTATAATTGGTTGAGTTGGCTATAAATATTTGCTATTGTTAGTTGCTGCCATTTTGGGCGAAAAAACATGATTTAGTAAATTCTCAAAATCAAAATATCAGCAAAACTTCAAGTGTTCGTTACAGAAAAGTTAGTAATTTACCCTGTTAAAAAGTTCCGTCTAAAATAAGTGTCAGAAGTTTTTAGCTCATATCCAACCAATTAAATAGTTAAACTTAAAATTTGTCTGTTATAAATGATAAATATATATTCTGGTTTTATATTTTTATCAAAATTAAGTGGAAGAATTAATTTTTTGAACTTATTTTTTTAAACTGTTTAAACTATAATTCAAGTTTACCAATTTACCCGCACCGAGAGCCCGTGGATTTTGATCGATTTTAATGGATTTCCTAGACAAAAATATTCTGTTACAACACGAAACTGATTATGTTGCTAATATAACCGATTATTTTTGAGAAAAAAAATCCATTATAATAGAATAAAATTCATTATTTTTGGCCTTATAATCAATTTTTTTTTGTCAAGATCATCCAATATAATAGATTTTCGAAACAAAAAAAAAACAATATAATCGATTAAAGTCGATTATAATCTATTTTCTTTTAGAATTAAATTTAATTGTTTTGCAGAAATGGTCCAAGAAATTCTGAGTAATGCATTTTTTAGTTATAACAAGCAAAAAAGGTGAAAATTGAAATACGTTCAACAGATGGAATTTGTATGTTTATCTCCTGTGCAAACCCCCAAGTCCTAAGTTCTTAATCCTCCAATCCACTTACAGTAAACGTGGGAGAAGGTAACAAACTAGATAGATGGGGGGTAAGCGGTGGGTGTGTGAACTGAGGGGGGGGGGGGGGGGTTGGTAAAAGAGACGGAGCTCAACAGCTGGAACCAACTCTTATACTAGCCCCACTGTTTTCAACCGCTACCCCCCCTTTTCTTGAATTTGAGGTGAGAGGATAGGGCGAATAGTTTGTGTTGAAAAAAAATTAACTAAAATTTTAAACTGCCGTGATTTAAGAGTTGAAAAAATTTGAAAAAAAAAAATAAAAATCCAAAAAATCTATGAAAATAAAATGAGGAAGGTAAAAAAATTATGAAACAAAGTACAGAACAACTGCACTAAACAGGAAATGAGATAAGAACATGTGAACAATCACTCCCGTAGATCAAATTAGGGTGGAGAAAATTCACGTGGTTAAAAGTAATATTTTTCAACCTATCAGTTTTGAGTATAGTACATACAGGCCTTACGTCTCGAATTTGCCATTTAATTTAAGGGGGAGATTGTTCACTTGGTCTATTAAGCGGGTAGATTGTTCACATGGGCAATGAAATTTACTTAAAACCAAATTTTCGGTTCTCAAGTGTTTTTCCTTTTGCAGGATAGAATTTTATTTTCGCGCAAATAATTCTGTTAATATCCTTGATCAGAAAGTTGGCGACATGTAAGCTGTCAATCGAACGTGCGCAGAAGCTATATTAAGTAAGAATTTTTATAACCAGGAGCGGATTTAGGAGTTTTGTCGAGGGCGGGGCGGATTTTCAAAAAATTTTCGAATATTTTCTACTTTTTTCCAAGTCGATTAAATAGATTTTCTGAGCTCTGCCAAAGCACTAAAAGACCCTGTTTTGGCAAAATTTTCTGCGCCACAGGCAATATTTGAAAAAAAAAACAGGCCAAAAAAGGCATTTTAAGGCAGTTGGGAAAATTTAAACCAAAAAAATTGTGTTTTTTCGGCGCGCGTTCCACCTTCAAAATTAGTATATTTTGGCATCAATGGCGCATTAACAAAAATTCTAGGATTTGTCAGCCAAAAATGATTATCTTGGAATATGCTTAACCTTTGGGTCGGCAGGCGGTCGGTTGAATCGTTAGTAACGGAATATTTGTGCTCAGGGTGAGTTTTTTTTCTTCAGACATTTTTTCACTTTTTAGCTAGTCATTTTCAACGGATTTTTTTTTGAATCATTCAAAAAATATTGTTGTCCTGAGCTTAAATTTGGGAACATATTTCATCTGTGATCATTTTTTGTAAGACTATGGGAGTTTAAAGTTTGGCATTCTGGCCAATATGCAATTTTTAGCTCGGGGTGGTTTTTCCTAACAAAATCCAACAATTTAAAACTTTTTTATTAACGGGATTCATTTCTTACATCTAAAATTATTGTTTTGTAGAGTTTAAAGTTCTTAAAAAAATGGTTTTGTTAATCGATTTTGGCAAAATTATGAGGGTTTAAATGTTGCCAATATGAGATACCTACTTTGCGAATTCTTCGTGATTTCAACGTGTGAGCAGCAATTTAATCCGCCTCAAAAAGAGGTCTTCAGTAAATAAGGGCATGTGGTAATTATTAACTGGATTGGCTATGATTGGAGCAGTTTTGTTTGTATCTCTTTTTCTTGTTGCGTATCAAGGCTACTTTTGTTGCTCTATGTACTTAAAAAGCGGTCGAAACCCGTCCTTTTTCTAAGAAAGTCCAATTAAAACTCCCATATTTTAAAAATAGGTTTTCAATAAGGCAACGGAAGCTGCGTTTTTTTGTCCAGATTTTTTTCAGTTCTCAAAAAAGTTGTAAAATTTCTCAAAAAATTGATTATATCATGACTTCAGTGTCAAAGTTGAATAGTTTTTTTTGTGATGACTTTTACAAATATAATGATGTCTGAAAAAGTCAAATTTGCAAAAGTAGCTGATTAGTTAAAGATGTTTTAGTTCCATTTTTCTTCCTTTGCTATCTGTTTTTTAAAGTTACAAATTGTAGATTTTGTCAATACTAGCTCGACAAATGAAAACGGAAAACCTTAGTTTGCGTTTTGAGTTTGCGCAATTTGTCTGCATTTGTCTTTCACAGTTAAGTTTCTTTTGATTTAGTTTGAAAAAGCATGAGCTAACATAGGACAAAATAAGACTGCTCGTAACGGGGAGCAAAAAGCTGAATATTTGAACTGCTTTTGTAGGCCTTATGGTTAGTGTTTGCTTATGAAAAAGTCGAAAATAAAAAAAATTTTTAAATTTTTGAAATTTTTTATGCAATTTTTTAAATATCCCCATACGCTATATAACTAAGAGAATGTTGAATGTTGAATTTCTAGTCAATCAGATTTTGAATTATAAACAGAACCATCTAGTGCTGCTATTTTACTGCTTTTGTTTATAGGGGTTGTAATTCTTTAGTTGATACCATAGGATGTGATTGTTAAAGTAGGAAGAAAAAATTTAACTTGAGTTCGAAATTTGAAGAAAAAACATCCTATAAAAATCAAAGAAAAACAAAACTGACTGTATCAGGGCAAAACCCTGAATATTCCGACTGTCGAGTAGTTAAAAAATAAGTGAGGAAATTTTCAAAGAGAACTAAAAAACTTAAAATTTTTTCTTGGTTTTTTTGAATACCATCCCACACGCTATGTGAAATACAAAGCGATTTATTTGTCTACTATTATAGATTCGAAAGGATAAAAAAATGCCCCAATTCAACTTGGAATGATTTTTAATCGGATAATTTCGCAGCTGACGCGTTAATAGCGCGAACTATTTCAAGTCTTAGATGTTCTAAAATAGCCGAGTCTTTAGAACATTATAATTTTACTAAAAACGACCATATGACTATATTTGTTTGAATTTGAGCTCAGTAGAACAAAATTTTTTGACTGATAAAAAAATCCGACACAAGTTGCTGGTTAAAAAGTCAAATTTTGTCTGGAAAAAAACTACATTTTTTTCATACACCTTAAAAATTTTTTTCTTTCATCTAAAATTATTGATGTCTAAAGGTTAAGTTTTCAAAAAACATGGTTTTTTTTCTGATCAATTTTGTCAAAATATTGTGGAATTAAATGTTTCCAAGTTGGGCCAATTCTACTCAATTAAGTTGCTCTTTAATTCGGCTTAGGAAGAATTCTTCAGTGAATAAATGCATGCTAGTAGTTATTAGTGACAGTCTACTGTATGCTCAATCTACCTTTGTGTATTTAAAAAACCTGTGGAGATGATTGATTAAAATGAATGATGACGGTTTGCTCATTTTTTAGTGAGAAGCTATATTCTAAATTTGTAAGAGTCAGAGTAATTCCCGCGTAATGTTTGCCAAATTTTGTTCCACTGTGACAACTTTGGAATATTTGTGCTCGGCGGGTTGTTTAAAATTTAACTTGTAATAAATCAAGCTTTTACCATACTTTTGTGCGCTTTCTTTATTTTTAAGTTTTTTTCAGAAGATAAATTTTTCCTAACAATTTACGGGGCAGTCTTGTCATGGTTGATATGGATTATCTGGATAGCTGCACTTTTATGGGAGCCATTTTGTTTGTTCGTAAGGCCACATCTTGTGCAATATTTTTAACGTGTTCAAAAAATTTGAAAATCTTGAATCAATTTTGAAAAAAAACTACTCCTGCAATCAGTGATTTTGAGGTTTGTGTACGTTTTGAAAAAAACTCTATTGCAGGCTAACTTATATTGATTTAGTAGGCTCGTTTTTGAAGATTTCGCATAGGTGCTTCAATATTTAGTTTTACCATTTATTTTTAGGAGAAGATTGTGCTCTTTGTCATTTTAGAAGGATAATTGTCCGCATTGCAGTTTGTCATTTCTTTCTAATTTGCGCGTTGTTATATATGACGATTTTTTTTCCACTATTTGCGAGTTGTCGCATTATTATTATCTGTTAGCTAAAACCTTATTCGTTTGGTCAGCAAAGATAGCTTCGCTTGATGAAACTAGATAGATTTGAGTCCAGCTCTGCACAGGATGGCCGTCCTTTGGTTGTACTGGAACCAGTTCAAAAAAAGTATGAATTAGATTTTTTATATAGTTTGAAATTTATCACTTTAAAATTTTTAGTAATAACCAATCAGGATCCATTACTAAAACGTAAAATGAATTGTAAAGCTGAAACTATTCTTAATGTCAGCCAGAGAAAACTTGATTCAAATTGAATTCAGTTGCTTCCTTCTCTCCTTTAGCCTCGCAAGAATACCAGTATATTCTAGATCTATTGAGACTAGGAAATATAAGGGTAAGATTAAGATCGGTTTCAGACAAAAAATTGCACGAATTTGTCCGGCCGAAAATGAGATAGCGTGACACAAACAAACGAAATTACTCTATGAGACACCCCGGACAAAAACTCAGTACCGTGACAACTTTTAACGAAAAAAACCTCGCAAAAAAACAACGCGCAACTTAGAAGGAAACAAAAAAATTGCAATGTGCGCTAAGTAGTTTAAAACTCGCTTCTTACTTCGGTTGCTCCGATGGGCATAAATCCAGCAGCTGGAACATTAGGGCCTATGTA